ATTTGAAATGACCTGCAGGGGTCAGTGATAGTTTAACAGCTGTGCTTTCATTTTCTTTTTTCCACAAAAAATAATTCACACATAAAATGTTATTTTTGCCTCTGATCATTAGTTTAGATGTTAACTTATTTTTTTTTCAATATTAGCAGTTTGAAAGGTTGCAAGTTATCCTTTAAATAAATGACCTTGTTCCCACAAACCAGGCCAACAGTAAACAGCCCCTGTGATTAGTTGATCTAGTGTTTCTGATGTATCAGTGTGCAAGTAGTATTTCACTGGTCAGATGAAGCTACAGCAGTTGATTAATGGGAAAGAAAGAAAGACAAAAGGTTCTGATACATATATTTGTATTTTGTTGCAGACATTTTGCTAATCTTTGCCTTTTCTACCAAATCCTACATATGCTGACTTTTTGGGGCCTTATTTACAAGATGTTTAGACTGTAAATGTCTGCTAACAGTGTGGTCCCCAGAAGAAAAGGGGCCCCAACAACTTGTCAAAGGGGATCCACTGATAAAAAGGTTGGTAAACACTGGTTAAATCTAACAATGCACTGTCATGTATAACTTTATGTTTGTGTGAAATGGTCATCTGTAAAGGCTTCCAGTAGCTGTCTGATAAGGACGTTTCCCTTTAAAATGTAGTAGAGTAGACGTGAAAATGGAATAATAAAGAGTATTATTTTCTCATGTACAGTACTGAGTTAATGTCCTTTGCAGCACTAGGTGTCTCACACAAACTACACAGCCAATATTACTGTTAATTATTTGTGTTTTTAAACACTGTGTAAAAATAAGGGTGTTACTTTGTGGAAACATACTGCGGCCTGTACTACGTTAGTCTATTGTGAAGGCGTGGGGCATTATGGGGAAAGGACCCAGCTTTCACTTTCGTTAATGTGTGGATTTTACCGGTGTAATGACTAACAAGAACACCTAGATTCTCAGGTCCTTGATTTTTTTCCCCCTTCAGTCGTTTATTGCAGAGACTAATGAAGCCATCAAGATTGAGATTTGGGCATACTGGTTTAAATAGTACATTTGAGTTCATCAAGAAGCACA